ATTAAATACTTAGGACTTAACCTAAGGAAGTGAAACATTTCTACAACAAAAACTACATTACTCAGAATAAGGCAATTCAAAAAGACATCTGAAAATGGAAAGATATCCCCTGTTCCTGGGTAGGCAAAAGTGATAGAGTCAAAATAATCATATTTCCAAAGTTGATATACAGATTTAATGGAACCCCAATCACAACACTAACAACATTCTTCACAAAACTGGATGAAATAATCCCAAAACTCATATGGAACAAAGAGACCCAGAATAGTAAAAGCAAGCATCAGTAACAAGATCAAAGCTGGTGGCATCAATATTCCAGACTTGAAGTTATATGACAAAGCTACAGTGGTAAAAATAGCATGATACTGGCACAAAAACAGACATGCGGATCCATGGAACAGAAGAGAGGATGCAGAAACAACCCCAGGCACACTGAACTGTTTGATCTCTAACAAAGGGAACAAAACATAGAAGGGAGGAAACACAGTCTCTTGAAGAAATGGTGCTGGGAAAATTGGCTATCCACATGGCAAAAGACATAATCTAGACCCATATCTCTCAACATGTACAAACTAGAGTTAAACTGATAAAAGAACTAAATGTTAAAACAGAAATACTTATCCTGATGGAAGATAAAATAGGTAAACTCAGGAATCTTTAGGTGTAAGCAAGGATTTTATGAACAGAACTCCAGTTGAATCAACAGATGAGATTATATCAAATTGAAAAGTTTCTGAACAGTAAAAGAAACAATCAACAAAGTGACAGGAAAACAAACAGAATAGAAAAAAATTGTCAGGTATTCGTCAGACAGAGGACTAATAGCTGGAATGTATAAAGACCTAAAGAAATTTAGACCCTAGAAAATAAAAAACTCAATCAAAAAATGGGCATGTGAAATGAAGAGACAATTCTCAGAAGAGGAAATACAAGTGGCTAGTAAATACATAAAGAAATACCCAACATGGCAGCCCATCAGAGAAATATAAATTAAACATCAAGATTCAGTCTTACTTCAGAAAGGCTATCATCAAGAAATCAAATAATATCAAATGCTTGCAAGGCTGTGAGGTAAAAGGAACGGTAGGACTGTAAACTAGCACAACCTCTATGGAAATTAGTATGAAGATTCCCAAAAAAACCCCAAAAACCTAAAAATAGAAATTCCATTTGACTTAGCTATTCCTCTTCAAGATATCTTCTTAAAAGAGCTAAAGGCACCATATTTCAGTGATGCATGCATATTCATGTTTATAGAAGCACAGTCATAATAGCTGCATCTTGTTAGTGGCCTACATGTCCATCAGCACATGAATGGATCAAGAAAGTGTGTTTACACTCAGGGGAGTACCACTCTGCTGTAAAGCTAAACCTGAGTCATTTGTAAGAAAATGGATGCATCTTGAGGCTCTAAAGTTAGGGGAGATAAACCAGACACACAGCTTAAATATAGCATGGTTTCTCTCATATAAGAAACACAAATTATAAATAAAAAATAAAATAAAAGATAAGAAGACATCAGGAGATAGATCTTTCTGAAATGGGCAGGAATCAAGAGATAGAAGGCAGAGGGAGGGCAGGGTTGAAAAAAGGAATGAAGATGTGTTATGCGCATGTGCCAGCTTCACTCAAGGAATGTGAGCATTATGTACTAAAAGAAGAAGCAGTAAAGGAGGTAAAAGCATTCAGGTAAGGCTCAGAATGAAACTTCTTCAGACTTGTGGACCAGTGTGTCAGCTGTCCCTTTGATCATACATGGTGATCAAATAACAACTGACTTGAAAACATGCCATGGCCCCCAGATAGAGTGCAAAAAATGTAAGTAAAGATAAGACTTAGGGAAAACAAAGGTTTGTTGAAATACATCAGATAAGTTGAAGATATCATTTCCACACTAGTCTCTAGATTTGGTGCAAGTTAAATTAAAACCCCAGTATGAAGAGGTATCTTTGTTCATGTGTTCCTTAGTGTAAAAAAAATGGGCCAATGTAGCCAAATACACCTGAAGAAGAATATGACAATCCTAGGTGTTCTCTGTTGAATGGTGGTGTCCTTCTTACTCCAGGAATCAAGGAATGTGAACTTATTTTTCAAAAAGTATTTGGAGATGTGATTATATTAAAGAAAACTGTTACAGATTATCTGGGAAGGCTTTGGACCCAATGATAAGGGACCCTGTCACAGTGGAAAAGCAGAGAAAGAAGACTGTGAAGATAGAGACCATACACCAGAGCCTCTTTCCTAGGCAGCATTAAATCAAGAAACGTTGGAATGGCCACAAGCCAGAATATGCAAAGAAGGATTCTTCCCTAGAGCCTTTGATTTCATATTTCTGCTGTCTAGAACTGTTAGAGAATACATTTTTGCTGTTTTTAACACCTACTTTGTGGTAAGTTCTGTAGCATCGGTAATAAACCAGTGAACAGGTACCAATACTTACTGTCGAGTTACAGTGGCTAAAGTTTGTGGGAGGCATTGAGACATGAAAAAAATAAAACAAAACAAAAGGAGAGCTCAGCGACACCACCATTCATATAAGGAGATGTCATGTTGGATCAGCTGGGAATGACTGTCTATCTAATGGTAGTGATTTAAAAAACTGCTTACTATATAGGGGAAAATGAAGTTGACTCCCTAAATTAAAAACGCATGCAAATATCAACTCCATATAGGATAAGTCCTATATGCAAAAAGCAAAACCTGGAACTTTCTGAAGGATCAGAAAGGATTTATTATAGAAACACAAAAAGGCACTGAGAAGCAAAGAATGATACTTCTAACTGCTTTAAAATTCAGCCAAATTTATAATAAAATGAAAAGGAATTTAAAAATGGAAAATAGACATATTAAGTACATATATTAGTTACAGGATTCATTTCCAGGAAAATATGTTTCTAATAAATTGAAAACTGCAATAAAAATGACCAAAAAAAATCATGAGCAAGCATTTATAGAAGATGAACTACAAATGATTACCACTGATGAGCACATTAATAATCAGTACATGCAAATCAAATCTATGAGATCCTGTAGTGCCTACCCTTGACATGGCGACACTGAAAAGTCAGACCAGTACATTTTTAGGAGGATGTAGGTGATCATGAATTCTCTTGTGCTCTGCAGTAGTCCTGCAAATATTTAGAAACACTTTGGAAAACAGCAGGTCAAAACCTGCTTGAGTTGGAGCTTGGCTCATGCCTCAGTGAAGCCCTGCTGGCTTTACCACCTGGATAGAGTCTAGCAGGTGAGCTAGGAAAAGGTAAGATTGTTCTTCAGCTATAAAAAGGGCAGACAGATGTGCTCCAGCCATGAAATGAGTTAAAAGAGTAGTATGTCTCTGTCACAGTAGTCTACACAGAAAGGAAAGTAACTGAACTCTAGTTTTATGTAATAAAATGGAAAAACCCTCAAACCCTAATGTTGAGTGAAAAGAAAAAATTGTAGCAACAGGGAGTCACAGGCAGAAAACAGGATAAAATAGGATCTCATTAAGTTTTATTAAAGAAATTAATAGGAAATCTTACTAAAGGCATTTTTTGACTCTGAAGTTAGACCCCAGCAATTTGAAAGGTAAAGAGAGAAATCAGACTTGAGGAATATGTCAGGTAAGATAATTCATGAAAGGATTTAGCAGGAAGAGTTGACTTGCAAAACAGGGGTGTCTCCAAGGACATGAAAGACCAGGCTAACCAGCCCTCCTCACCAAATAAAATACAAAGGCGACAAGGGGCAGCCACTTAAGGGCTCTTACTTAATATATGAAACACACACAGACACGCACCTACACGTGTATTCATACCTATATATTCACACTGTAGCCTCACTGTACCACTGCACCAGATACACACATGCCCCCTTGACTTCATTGCTGATGCTAAGCTACCCTTCTACGAGGTTCCCTTTCACACACTTACCAATCACAAAAAGGCAGCAAGGAATCAAACGACCAGAAACAATGTAGGCAAAGATGCCCAGGTTAGGATCAAAGAGCCAGAGACTCATTCAGATGGTGCCCATGCGGGGGACTGGAAAGATCACTAGTCCTAGGTAAAAGGAACCAGTGACAAGGGCTGGTGGGCATTCACCTTCCCAATGCCCCCCACTCTTCCAAAGCAGCTGTCTTTTTTTCCTGCCTTTTTCCAAATAAACTTTCTTCCTTTATTTTAAACTCTATTTCTTTAATTCATTGCTGGAGTTGAGAGTTTATGATCCTGGTAGCTGAGTGTTCCAGCAGGGCAGAGGCATGTCATGGCAGGCAGGACACTCCTCCCCCAGGTGTGACAAACTCATAGAAGGACATAAAATGATTCCACTTACATAAAACTGAAAAGCAAAATTGTGCAGCATAGTCCATAGGGAAACATATATAGGTGATAAAACTATAATGAATGATTGAGTGAAATTTAAAATAGTTTTTAACCTCTGAGAAAGAAAGAGGAAAGAACACACCTTAAATGAGGTGGTAGGGCCTTGGGTACTCATTTTCTTATTAATCTTATAGATGAACAAAAGAAAAAATAAAATACCAAGGAATATCACTGTGAAATTTCAAAAACTAAGAAGGGAAGTATTAAAGATTTGGGAGAAAACTTGGTCACCTAGGAAAAAAACAATTTCTTATTAACCACATTTGGTAAGGTAATAAAAATGAATGTTTTAAATTTCTGAGGAAAAATGATTCTCAATTTTGTTTTTCTATACAAACTATCAGTTGACGGAAAGACAGAGTAAAGGAATTTTCTACGTGAAATAATTCAGGAAATTTACCTCCCACCCACTTTTTGCTAGGTATTTGAGGACATAATCCACCATACATATGCAGAAAAATATAGGATTCATGAAGCAGCGGATCTGACACATGAGGCATTATGCCCTAGCCAGGTCTACCTCTGAGAAGTGGACCTAAAGCCCAGTGGTAGACACTACTGCCTAAAATGCCCACAGTCAAAGCGCTGCAGAAAAGTGCATTCAGAAATGTTTGTGTTTTCTGTTGAGCTTACCATTCTTTCAATCTGATGACTTCTTTCTGTAAACTCTCTTGAGGATTTCATTCCATAATTTTCTCTGTACTTGATGTTTGTGACTTTAAAAGAGGCAAGGTAATAGAATGATCTATCATCTGAAAGGTAAAATAAATGAAAGAGCTATAATTAAATGTGATCAGTAATTTGTCCCCAAGTGTGCTGGGTAGGGTACTTACTATAATGCAATATATTTCCATTTAGTTAAAAAAAAAAAACTATTGTAGGCCTTTTAAAAATATTTTCTAATTTTACCATTGCAGTCAGTCAAAAAAATTTAAGTCCCAAAGAATCCTTACTGAATATGATATATATATATAAACATTTTCACAGAATTGGACATCCAGTATAGAAAGGAAGTGAATACTAAATGCAATTGGTGAACGTCATGTAAAAATTCTCTATTTCCTAAAAAAGTTACTAACATAGGTATATCACATATCACATATTGTAAAATGATGCTATCAAGTTTTTTCTATACTTCTACTAAGCTCATTTTAATAGATGTCTATATGTATTGTTTCAACTTTGTTTTTTTCCTATTCACTTTTAATTCTCTGCAATCTACTCCTAACCTACCACTGTAACAGCCATTGTTAAGGACAACATTTAGAACCTACTGTGTACCTGTTTTGGTTTGTTTCTTTGTTTTAATTCTTGTTGTTTTTCAGTCTCAGTTATGTTCTTAGAAACCCCAGCTTTAGCTTTATGAAGAAATCTAGTTTTTTTCTTCCTCTCGGGACACTTATTTAACAATGTAGTTTTCTTTCTATCCTTAATCTTAGCTTCCTATGGCTTGAGTTCTTATACTTCCAATTATATTTCTAGTCTACCTCTTCTCTTAGACTATTCTACTTCCTGCACTTCCATCTTTGTGAACAGTTGTACCATCCCCATGGTCACCCAAGGTTTAGCTTCACCCGTACTTCTAAGATCCAGTGAAACTTTTAGTCTTTCAATCCTGTAGCTGCAACCTATTTGATCACTCTGACTCTTTTCCCATGTTCACAGAGCCTGCATCTTTAATTCAGGTCCTTATTAACTAACCAGCTGCTGTTTATCTAAAATGGTGGTTTTTTTTTTTTTTTTAAGAAAGAACCCTCTCCACATTGAAAAAAAAGTCATCCTTTTCACAAATATCACCAGTGATCCAGTTCATGTCCTTGCTGCTTGCTAAACATAGCAGCTTTCTCACTAGCATCTTTTCCTGCAATCTAATTTTCTTTGAATCCATCTCCAGAGTGAGTACTATTGCAAATTTGACAATATCACCTTTCCAATTGAAGTATTATCATTTTTCCTTTGTCTATGGCATAACTGTCACAACTTTTACCTATGACCCAACAAATTTCTTCTCACCTCATAGCCTTTCTACCTTTTCAGCATATTTTCCATGTTCCCCTTAGGGTTTCTGTTGAAACTACTGCAAAGTGTATTTGTCAACATTTACCATGATGTTTTTTCTTCTTGATTTTCGTTCTGTTACCACTTTCACCTGAAATGATCTTTCCCTAAGCTTCTCCACTCCTGAATCCTATCCTTGACTTCACCTAGCAAGAAAGTCTCTGAACATCTGGGCGGAGACAGGTACTTCACTTGTGCAGTGACACAACCTTTGGAATTGCTCTATATTGCACATGCCACAGGGTCAAAGAGATTTCTAGATGTTACTTCAATGGAATTTCAGTTCTTGGTAGGAAGTGTTGAACTATTTTTTATTTGAAGACGAGGCAACATTTTATGTAATATTAATGAACAAAAACCTTGGTTTGAGCTTTTTAGAAAACTAGCAAATTAAGAAATAATTGCTATAACATTTCATATGTATTAAGTACGTCAAACATCAGACCCTGTGATGAACATTCTACTCTTCATTGTATTTTCATTTTAAAATATTTTTAAGACCCTAAGTACTACATCAGAATCCCAGGAATGAATAGAAATGTATTTATAAGAGAATAAACATAATCTACAACCCTACTATGTAGAAGTAATTGATATTATTAAATCAGTTTATTTTTCTCTTGCTAAAATATTGTTTACTTGGCTGAAGTAGATTATCACCACACTATTTTATTATCTTTTTCCATTTATGAAATTGACCCTAAACATTTTCTTTTTTCTTGAAAAAATATATTTTCTTCACTTAAAATAAAAAGTTAAGAAAGATGTATCAGAGATAATATTTCACTCCAATAGTTGATGTTCCTTTTGTTGTTTCCAATTGTTTTAATTTTTCAGATTGTAGCTTGATGCATTTTGGTGGATGAGTAGATAAATGAGTCAATATTTACTAACAGACACTAGGCTCCATCTTTTCAGGGTTTACATGCACTATTTGCATTATTAAATGAATGGACCCAAGTTACTTTTCAATGTGTATCTTGAATGTTTGACATGATTTCATAATTGAAGTTCTATTGCAAAAAGACTAAAATTAAGATTTATTCAGAGTGACAGAGGCATTTTATTCATTATTGCATACACATGCCAATATCTTTTTAAGCATTCCCAGTTGGATAAAAACAACTATTACAATGATGGGGAAGTAAAAATGATTTTAACACATACTTAGATGCTCTCAGAAGTGCTAAAGAGTTATATGTGATATAAAATTATACTAATCATAACAATTATAGTAATAAAATAATGACTATTTTTTATTGAGCTTTCATTATAAACTGAGAGAATGATATTGCTATTTATTGAGTCTTTATTATATGGCCAGCTCATTCTAGCAATGGAAAAATTGAGAGTTAGAGAGATTTCTTATATAAGTTGAATTGTAAAACTATTGTGAAAATCCAGTTTAATAACTGCAAATATACGCAGAAGCAGAGACCTTGTGGTATAGCTTTAATTTCTAAAACCTGAAACAACACAAATGCCCATGAACACTTGAGTAAATAAATAAACTGTGTTTTAGTTACTTTTTCATTGCTCAGACAAAATACACAACACCCATAAGTTAAAGGAGGAAAGGCTTATTTTAGCTCACAGTTTGCAGAGATTTCAGTCCATAGTCAGCTGAGTCCATGGCAACATGGCAGAGGGGCGTCACAGAGGAGAAACAGTCCATGGCAGGGCAGGAAGAAAGCAGCGATCAGTGAGCCTTTCAGACTTTTATCTCATCTAGGCTACAAACCTGTTGGATGGTGCAACCCACACCCAGGGTGGGCCTTCTCATCAACCACACCCAGACCTACACTAAACTGATCAATGGATAATTTAGTTACAAACAGTCTTAATCCATTTTTACACATTCTATCAAGCTACCTGCAAAAAGCCCACCTTTGAGTGCATGAGGCTTTGGGGGGACATCTAACTACAAGCTATAACACTATGGAATGTCTAAGAAATGGATTGCTAAGTAATAATAAAAATAAATGTACTAATGATGCATATAACAGAGTGGATGATTCCTGCAACAATTCTGAGCAGGAACAGACCTCAAAAATGTGCAATTCTATTATATTTAGTTAAAGTTCAAATAGGATTTCAGTTTTTAAAAATTTTATTTCTCTGGGCTGGGGATTTAGCTCAGCTGCAAAGCGCCTGCCTGGCAAGCGCAAGGTCATGAGTTCGGTTCCCGGTACTGGAAAAAAACCAAAATAAATAAATAAATAAAATAAATAAATAAATAAATAAAAATTTTATTTCTCTTTGACAGAATGAAAAATGAAGATCCAAATGAAAATTCTAAGGATATGTAACACAGCAGTATACCACTCTTTTCATCATGTTGAGGAATAAAATTTAGATATATAAACTCTACCAAGCACTGCTGTGGTCTGGTGCTGTTTGTTCCCCAGAGCCCATAGGTGGAAACTTGGTCCCCACTGTGGGGCTGAGTAGCAAGTGACCATGCCACCAGGCACTGCCTCAGAAGGAAACAACAAGACTGGTTCCTTCCATCTCTCTGGCTTCCTGTGTCACCATGGGATCTCTTCTGCACATGCTCCTGTTGTGATGTCATTCACCATGTTGTAACCAGCAAAGGGGACACTGACCAGGGGTCAAGCCAATGGAGTTGCCCTATCTCAGTCTTTCAGTCTCCTAAACTGTGAGCTTCATGAGCAGCCAATTCAGGTATTTTGTTACAGCAACAGAAGTGGACAAAGACAAGTACTTAATAGTCAGGAACACAGAAATTATTTCTTAAAACAATGCTCTATCAGCACAAAATATATAAGGTCACAAATATAAAACCTGAGAGACAGAAAAACAAGCAGTCCCTAACATGCAGAAGTTGACTGAATATCAACATCAGACATAGCCACTCTGTGGCCATATTAGGTTAAGACAAAAGTCAGACCATTCAGTAAGATGTCTGCAGAGACATGAGCATTATTCAAATCAATGCACTAAAGCAAAACAAAGGGAAACATATCCCAGCCAATGTTAGTGACAGCTGATTCTCTGACACTTATTTGCAGCTTTAGTTGCTCTGTATTCAGATCTAATTGAGATTTGTTCAGCTACTCAATCCCAGCATTATGCCAGCTTCCCGATGGCATCCAGTTCGGAGAAAATGGGTTCCTTCAACTCTCCCCCAATCACCCAACACAAGGAAAAATCTTACAGTGCACCCTTTTTCATTGTCTCATGGTAAGCAGATGAATAGATGCAACCCTCATGGTCTTTAGCTGACAGACAGTGATAAATAAGACATAGTCTAAGTTACTGGATTACTTTATTATTGCTTACTTTAAAATAGTCTATTTTAAGGAGTGTTGAATAATTGGTCAGAATTTTGATTCACTGAAAGCTGCTCACGTGTAGTATGCAGACCTTCAGGATGATGACTGTTCTACTGAATATACTTCAATCCTGGTGCTGTAATTTAACTACTTATGTCTGCTAAAATTCTTATTTCATTGTAATTATTTATATCTTTAATGATTTCTACTCATCTTCTTTTAGATCTATTTCCATTTTTTAAAAACAATATTTTAAAAAGAATTTTTCCTCCTACCTTGATTATAACAATGTGATTTCTTTCTTGCAGGTACTCTTTTATACTATGAAAATGTGTATGTTCTTTTTAAAAGTGTGTGCATCATCTTAGATGCCTTTATTTTATCCCTTTCTATATGTCTACCCTTTGTCAGAATCCACTTTCTTCTTCCCTACTCAGGCTACTCTCCAGTATCCTCGTGGGATATCCTAGTGATAGCTCTCTGGACCTTTTGAGTGTTTAACCCTCGTTTAGTTTCTTATTGTTGAAAAAGGGCTTAAACGCACACACATTTATTCTTGTTCCATTCTGAATGTCAAAGTCTGATGTCAGTTTCATTGGGTTAACATCAATATGTGGCAGAGCTGGTTCCTGCTAGAGGTTTAGGGGGGAAAATGTGTTTCCTCTTTTACCCTCATCCCTTAGCTCAGGTCTCCATACCATATTTTCCTACTCACTCCTTCAGTGGTCACATTGCCTTCTTCCTTCTTTGCCCATGTTCCCTCTTCTATAAAGACCCTTGTAGTTATATTTATAGCCCATCCAGAAAATCCAGAAGAATATTTCAAACCCAAAATTCTTAATTATGTTTGGAAGCCAGGCGTGGTGGTGCATGCCTGTAATCCCAGCACTTGGGAGGCTGAGGCAGGAGGATCATTGTGAGTTTGCGGCCAGCCTGGGGCTACAAAGTGAGCTCAAGACTAGCCTGAACTGCATAGTGAGACCCTGTCTCAAAAAGATAAAAAATAAAAATAAAAAATTAATTATGTTTGGAATGCCCCTTTTTCTGTATGAGATAATATTCATACATTCCAAAAATTAGGACATGGACATCATAGGGTGAGGATGGGACATCATTCAATTTATCATAATCTCTCTGAGAGTTTTTTAAAACAATACTGTTGCCATTATTTTTATTGCCCCTTTGCTTTTTCTTTTTTGAACACCTGCAGCATTGGTGGTGAAGGACATTTTAAACAGAAAACTACTTCATTACTTTTTAGCTAAAAGAAAATATTAGAACAGAAAATTTCAGAGGACAACTTGATTTATGTGTTTTACTTTATGAGATTCTAAGAAATGGATATTAAAACTCCTCCCACCCCCACAATAAAAATGGGTAGGAAAGTAAGCTTGGTTTTTATGGTTTGTGTCTAGATTTTCCCCCAAAGCCTAATGTAGTTAAGGGGTGGGCTTCTAGAGTTATGACTGATTCATGGATGTGAGGGCTATACCCGGCCTGGGGCAGGTAGTTTGCATACAGTGTAAGGGAGGAAAGAGGCTTGCCTTCTACCACTCCTCCCTTTTGCTCTTGTTGCTTTTGCTGCTTTTCTGCCTCCATGAAACTGTTGCCCTCTGCCATGTGCCACTCTGCCTTGGAGCCAGCTGAGTATGGACTGAAACCTCCATGAACTGTGAGCTAAATAACCTTTCCTTCCTTAATTCTGGGCCTCAGGTATTTTGTCTCAGAGAAAAGTAACCAAGACACTGTTATTTGGACAATACTTCATTTCTTCCTCAGAGGTATTCCAGGAATGGCTTTACTGTGTGACTGATGTGAATCCCTACCCCTTTAGGTAGAGATTCAGCCATCTGTAAGTACAAACACACAAGCCAAGGCAAGGGCAAATGAACATCTTGGTTCACCATCACTGGGCTGATTTGTGGTATAGGCTACCTACTTTTCCATATAATTAGGAACCTTTTCCCAGTGTTTCCATGTTCTCCACTCATGAAGCAATTGGATTTTCCTTCAAAATTAGTGTTTCCCTTTCAGCTCTTTAAAGGGTTTTTCAGGTAATTTAAAAAATATCCTGAGTGTTTCTTGAGGCAACTCATTAATATATTTATCCCGAGAAAAATATTATTAAGCTCATCACATGATGTGATTCATCTTTACCTTAAAGGTAATTTTTTCATTCCTTCCTTTTTAATACATATTTTCTCAGAAGCATCTGCCAATCAATGTAATTCATATTTCAAGCTTTCCTGAGTAGAAATATGTAATAGTTCCCTGTAGGAGCAATCTATAACTCAATACCCTAAAAACATTAGTAATTAAAATGTTAATATCATGCAAATGTCACTTTTGCACAGCAGAATTTCAAGACACTAAGTTACGGAGTACTTAGGCAACAGAAATACAATGTGGGTACTTACCCTCAACAACAAAATGAGTAACAATACCAATTGCAATTCCTATGATTGCTACAATTGCCAAAGTAAAAAGAGCGAGCCTTATAGGGTCCCAAAATTGCTGTCTCTTTTGATATGTGACTCGTGGATATTCAGCTTCTGAAAATTCAACAGGTCTGTGACAGAAAAAGAAGATAGTAAGACAACAAAAAACAACCTATTGTGGTTCTACTTGATGTCCACTTGCTGTGCTCCTTTATGAAAAATTTACTATTTTATTTTATTGATTTTTTGAGAAAAGATCTTGTTATACAGAGCATACTATATAGTCATACTAAAGTCCAGGCTCCCCTTGCACTCACTGTGTAGCCCAGGCTGCCTCAGTCTCACGGCAATCCTGCTACCTCAGCCTCCTGGGTGCTGGGATTACAGGCATGTAGCACTATGCCTGGGTAGAAATAGTTTATACTGCTAAATAATGCTGGGATATTTAAATTCACAAAAGAACACTAAGTTTTAATTTGCATGTCCTCCCTCAACATCATAACCACAGTACAAGTTTCAGTTAAAATTCTACTGATGTTTATATTCAAGTGACAATATCATCCCACTGCATTTTTTTGTACAAGAGAATTTCAAGACACTAAGTCATGGAGTACTTAGAAATACGATGTGGGTACTTACTTTCAACAACAAAAAGAGTAACAATACAAATTGAGAGTGCAATTTTGATTGCAACTGGCCTATCATGTTGGCAATTTGAAATTTTGGTGGTGAAATACTCTTAAAAATTTTGTAAATAATATTTTGAGTTCTTAGCAGTAAGATTACATAATATTCCTGTCAGTTTTACTTGGTTAAAAAGAAAAGATTTTCATATGAATACTTTATAAAATAACTTCAATGTTGCCTTTGAAGATGAAACCATGGCTCTTTGCAATTTATTAGCACCTTCCAGGGAAGTCCAATTGGTGACTGGTATTGGATGAAACTCCAGCATTCAAAGATCCTGTCATCTCCACTCAATTCTTACCTGTTGCCACTGGTGTACCACCTCTGCTCATGATATCTTACATCATTTGGTTATCTGTCTCCAACCTTTAAATTGCCATTTGTTTAGTTTATTTCCTGAATCCCTGAATAGGGTTCAGTAGTGTGATATTTTACAAGTGAGATGGTTCATAAAAGTTTATATACTTTTGATTTTATTTAATAAATCTGTACTGTACACTCTCAACAAATAAAGTAGTGGAAAATCATTAAAACAGTAACCATCATATTAAAACAATGTTTCAGAAACTGTTTTAGGTCCCAAGACATATGGAGATTTTTTCTTTTTTGGTTGCTTATTTACATTATTTTATTTTATAAAGAATACAAAAATAAAAACAACATAGAATTTCAAAACAAGATGATGGAAAATTAATACTGGTTGTTATATTGCATATTGTTCTCTTCAAAGTAGTTGCTCAGATTACCAGATATAAGCGTGCAAAATTGATTAAACAATATAAGCACTAACTGTTCCATTCAGTGAACTAATAGAATTAGTACAATTACCTTAGCTATTATCTTAGCTAACACATATATTTATTTGTTCATTTTCCCTTCTTTTCTTTTCTCCTTTTCACCATCCCAGCTGTTCTTTCCTTCTGAACAGTTTCTTTCCCTTTCATAACATCTATTGTAACTTTTGGATTATATTTACTCTTTCAGTTTCTTACACTGGGAAGACAGTATGAGGTGTGAAGATTTAAAGACAAACTCTTTGCCTTTAGGATGCTCACTTTTAAAAAAGGAGAAATACAGGAAAACAAGTAGTTACAATGTAGTGTGTGCAAGGCTCAAATCCGACATGACCTTCCCAGCACCCATCCTGTTTACCAGCAAAGGCACCATTCTCAGTGGGGACTCAGCGTAGCACTCACCAAGACTGTCATCAGCAAGTACAGGGCGTCATAAAGGAGATAAGACAGGACAAAGAATCTTGCAAGTCCCTGGACATCTGGAGCCACCTCAACATTTACACTGGATATCTTAAGAACTTTACCAGTTGAGGTGGAAGACAGCCAGAGAACTTTGACCACAGATGTTTATTTACATCTTCCCTCTTCACGTCTCTTGCCTTCTTTCAATCATTTTTAAAAGGGCCTGCTTCTCTTTGTTTACTACAAAGAGCCTTTTTGCCCTCTGTCTGCCTGCACCCAAGCACAATAAATTCCATACCATGTTGCCTTACAGTGTGAACTCTGCTAAAAGGTTGGACAACAGACAGTAATTAATTTTTAAAGGGCTATGCCAGCCAATTCTACTAAGAAGGAGATAATATTAAAATTTTGAGGAAAAAATCTACCAAGTAGAACAAAGAAATAAGAGTAGAAAAATTTACATGTGGGAAAAAAAGGTAGGAATATAAAAATAGGCAGTCACTACTAACAATTACTATTGGAAATAAACATATAAATAAAACAAGGCTTTCAACCTCAAAGAATATATGGCCCACGAAGTATTTGTAGGCTACAAAATCTTTCTCAGCTCTGCAAAAGTGGAAGAGGACAGAGGAGGTGGGGGGAATGCGCTCATAAGGAGGTTGTTATCCAAAGGGAAGAGCTGGAAATTTACCCAGCAGGGTCTGAGGAGCCAACCCAGTTGTAATCAGGTGACAACCTTCGAACAATACCACAGGTGTAAATGAGGCTGGGGATTGGAGGAGCAGACAGGCACGTAGGCAGGTTAGAGGTCATACTGAAGTGGGAGAGATAGTGGAGCCTGAACTGAGACTGTGGAAAGGTGGAGGCAGTAGCACTAATCCTTGAGCACTGTTGAGTAATTGATTAGGTAGGAAATAAGAAGACGAGTGGCTAAAGCATTCAGAAGTCCAGGCAATGGTTGTGCAAGGTGAGGAAGATGGAAAGCAAAGAAAGTATTTCTATTGTGGATGTCAATACTGTAAAGTGGCACATGTTCCCGTGTGAAATGCCTTCCTTCACATCCAGAGTCAAATCTCTACTTCCAAACTCTACAGTGATAAGTATTCTTAATTATTTATTTTGTGGAAATTTAAGTTACTGCAACTCACTTTTATGCTCACTCCCATTTCTCCCTGTTGCTGATTTAGTAGCTGCATTCTGAGTCCTTCACCAAGCAAGAAATGGTGAGAATCAAATTGTTTCAGATTTATGGGGGGATAATTAAGTATTACATGGTAATGGTGGGTCAGTGTAAATGAAACCATGGTATTCTCTGGTCACAGTCATATTTATTTATCGAATAAGGTTTTGTGTTTGGTGACAGGCTGTTTGCAGTCTGACATAACTGGAATGCTGACTCTGTGTCAGGTGGAAGTTGAAGTAAATTTTACCAAATATTCATTTCTGTGTTTTGAAATGTAAATGGCAAGAACAGTATGCAGAATCTATACCAATGTAAAAGAAGTAGTGTTTACTCTAACTGGAAAAGAAAATTTTGTTAAAAAAATAAAACACCAAAATATTCTGAACATTGTAAAGAAATACTTAGGTTGGGCTGTCTGCAAAAAACCTATGATTATCTTCCCACATACCACCCCCAAAATGCTCTCTGACTATACTAGCAATTTACTGTAGCCTGAAAACTATGTTTTCCCTGTGGGGATACTGGAGGCAAGTTGATGAATAAGAAAGCAGTGCTGTCCAACAGTTGATGGATAAGAAAGATAAACTCGAGGCTTTTATAGGTAAATTGTCACAACTAGAGACGATAATGATAAGTGAAGTAAAGCAGACCTGCATGCGCAAGCACCGCATTGTTTCACTAGTGTAAAACCTGAAAGAATTCATTTAAACTAGGAGGTATGACAGACATTGTGAAATGATAGGAAAGCACTCAAGGGTAAAGGACAATTGGGATGTGGGAAAAGAGAAGGGAAAGAAGGAGAAATTTTGTATGTATGTATGTATGTATATACAGGATAGTTAATATGGTTGTTGGACTGTCTTCTATTTCTGTGCTGAAAGAAACTGTCAATGAGTCCTTGACTGATCAATATTGCATGTCTCTATCTGTATTCACGAGAAACCACTTTGAAGATATCAATATGTAATACAACAAGCATTGTTAATTGCCTACCACTTTGTTTGTAACTGCATTGCCTGTACTGTTCTTTTGCTATTTTGTAAAATGTTGTCTGTTAATGTTTTCCTCCTTTTATTTTTAAAATAAAAAAAATCTATTAGGATCTTCAAATTTTGTATTCCCTAGATCACTATATAAATTGTACGAGAATAAACTGTATGAGAATGATAATGTTTTTCACCTCAAGAAGAGTTGTAGTTTATTATGGCTGCCAAACACATGAGAACCAACTGCACAGAAGGAATGTACACATGTTATGTAAACATGTGCTGATAAAAAAGAAATAAGCAATATGCTAAACTAATGAAATGACACCTTCATTCCTTCATCGAATATTAATTCCTGACATGCTCGAATATCTACTATGTTCCAGATACTATGTGTCTTGGTTACTTTTCTCTCGTTGCTGAGACAAAATACCCAACGCCCAGAATGAAGGAAGGAAAGGTTTATTTAGCTTACTGTTTATGGAGGTTTCAGTCAATACTTGGCTGGCTCCGAGGCAGAAGATAACAAAGCAACAAGAGCAAAGCGGGGAATGGCAGCCAAACAGCAAACAGCCAGAGCAAAAGGGAGGAATGGAGGCAAGCAGCCTCTTTCCCTCCCTTACTTTGTAAACAGGCTACCCCCACCTAAGGGGCGTGTAGCTCTCACATAATTTCCATGCCCTTCTCTTCCACAGGCTCAGGATGTATATAAAGTAAGTACCCTGGCTCCCTGCTGAGTCACTTAAGCAAATCTCTAGACTCCCCAAGTTGACACAATGTATCAACCATAACACTGTTAGGTATTAGAGATTTACTGTGAATACAGACTATTCCCTTATTTCTTCCAGTGGTAAAGACAATGCACAGCAAACAAATTTATGCATAAATGTAAAGTGCCAGATAAGAGGACAAAGAATGAGTGCAGGTGGGGATAATGTGGGATTAGAGTGACCAGTAAAAATAATTCTGTAAAAGGAATATCTGAATAGATTGACCAAAGTGAACGGTAGAGCCATGCAGCTTTCTCAGGGACAGATGTTACTGCATACACACAAAAGAAGAGCAAATATAAGGTC